GTTGTTGTTGTTGTTGTTGTTGTTGTTGTTGTTGTTGTTGTTGAACACTATTACTTCTAAAGAATTATTATTGTTGGACCCCCTGGTGCACGCCCCCCGCCCAAAACCTAGGCCGCAGCTACATTTTCATCATTTTTCGCGAAAGCTTCAGAAAAGTGGATTACCCCCGGATCCGGTTTTTTGTTGACGCTCGTTTTCCCTTGCAAAAAACAATAGAAAATGAAAATTCTTGTTCTTAGTTGATCAAATTTCAAGAATCCCTTGCAAAAAATAAGGTAAAGTGGACATTCGCGCTCGCAAGACGAAATCCTTCCAAAACCTTAGGTTTCGTAACGATTTTAACATAAAAACATCAAAAACCCAATGGTTTTTTAAGAAAAAATTGTCAAAATGTCCTTCCGCGCGCTCTTGCGGATTCATAGGAAACACACCACTTTTTAAACATTTCTGTCAAAAGGGTCTTTGCGTGCTACTTCTTCAGGTGCTTTGAACTTCTCCAACAACGGTTGCGCGCCTGCGAGGGCCACCATCCCTTGCACCCACGCGCCCGCTCCGCGCCATCGCAGACGACGATGCGTCGCGCCTTTAGTATGCTTCTGGATGCGAAGACCATTCGGTTGAGTATACCCCTACGTGTGACTGGACCTGTTTGCGAAAGCAGGAGAAAGTATGGCACCCCTTTGTGTCCAGAGCCGCGCCGTCTGCGTTCTTCCTTTCTCGCTTCTCTCCTTTCCTCCTTGTCCTGCTCCTCCTCCCCCTCTTCCGCCTTGGAGCCGTATTGGAACTGTCGATGGCCATCTCCCTTTCTCCCTCGCATGTCTGCTTGTACATACGTATAATTTCAGAACTTACCGTGCATGCGATCGTTTACAACATGGTGGACCGTGCGTATGTCACGAACCTTGTATACATGTGTTTCTCTCCCTCCGTCTGGCTGTGCACGCGCGCGTTGGGCACTGAGAGTTAGGATCATAGCGCCATGAGTCTATGAGCAATGCATGCGTCATCCTTGGGACTGTATAACATCAGTGTAACACATGTACTTCTGTAATCGCATCCCCACGAATTTGCCCCAAAAATGTGACCAACTATCTTGGCACTGCGTACCATCTCACGTGTACCGTGTACCACATCATATGTAACAGATGTGATCAACCTCTGTGGGTGTGTACCCCACGCCAGTGTAGTAGCCAGGGTCGTCCGCACGCCACGAAGTGAAGTGTCCCAACGTCATAGGGCGGGAAGCTGGGTGTGGGTGGTCTCGAAGAGTCGTTTGGATATTTGGTAGAGCTTGAACGGCCCCCCCACGAAGTGGGGGTATTGGCTGGTGTCGCAAGAAAACCCTGGCACTGGGGAGAACACTGAGCGTTCGGGTAAAATGATTGTTGTTGTTGTTGTTGTTGTTGTTGTTGTTGTTGTTGTTGTTGTTGTTGAACACTATTACTTCTAAAGAATTATTATTGTTGGACCCCCTGGTGCACGCCCCCCGCCCAAAACCTAGGCCGCAGCTACATTTTCATCATTTTTCTGCGAAAGCTTCAGAAAAGTGGATTACCCCCGGATCCGGTTTTTTGTTGACGCTCGTTTTCCCTTGCAAAAAACAATAGAAAATGAAAATCTTGTTCTTAGTTGATCAAATTTCAAGAATCCCTTGCAAAAAATAAGGTAAAGTGGACATTCGCGCTCGCAAGACGAAATCCTTCCAAAACCTTAGGTTTCGTAACATCAAAAACCCAATGGTTTTTTTAGAAAAAATTGTCAAAATGTCCTCCCTCCGTCTGGCTGTGCACGCGCGCGTTGGGCACTGAGAGTTAGGATCATAGCGCCATGAGTCTATGAGCAATGCATGCGTCATCCTTGGGACTGTATAACATCAGTGTAACACATGTACTTCTGTAATCGCATCCCCACGAATTTGCCCCAAAAATGTGACCAACTATCTTGGCACTGCGTACCATCTCACGTGTACCGTGTACCACATCATATGTAACAGATGTGATCAACCTCTGTGGGTGTGTACCCCACGCCAGTGTAGTAGCCAGGGTCGTCCGCACGCCACGAAGTGAAGTGTCCCAACGTCATAGGGCGGGAAGCTGGGTGTGGGTGGTCTCGAAGAGTCGTTTGGATATTTGGTAGAGCTTGAACGGCCCCCCCACGAAGTGGGGGTATTGGCTGGTGTCGCAAGAAAACCCTGGCACTGGGGAGAACACTGAGCGTTCGGGTAAAATGATTGTTGTTGTTGTTGTTGTTGTTGTTGTTGTTGTTGTTGTTATTATTGTTGTTGTTGTTGTTGTTGTTGTTGTTGTTGCTGCTGCTGCTGCTGCTGCTGCTGCTGCTGCGGTTGTTGTTGTTGTTGTCGTTGTTGTTGTTGTTGTTGCTGTTGCTGTTGTTGTTGTTGTTGTTGTCGTTGTCGTTGACGTTGTTGTTGTTGTTGTTGTTGTTGTTGTTGTTGTTGTTGTTGTTGTTGTTGTTGTTGTTGTTGTTGTTGTTGTTGTTGTTGTTGTTGTTGTTGTTGTTGTTGTTGTTGTGTGTGTGTGTGTGTTTTGTTGTCTGCTGCTGTTCTCCTTGGCCTTGCAGCGAGAGGAGGTGGGGGGAGGCCTGGGCCCTCCCGCCCCCGCGGCCACCCCGGCTCGCTCCAGCGCCGCGCCGGTTCCTCGCTGGAGGCCCCCAGCAGGGCCCAGCCGGCGGCCGTGGCGAGCGCGCCCGCTCACCACGAGGCCCCGCGCCCGCCCCGCCCCCTGCGCTGGGGCCTCGCCGCCATGCCCAGCAGCTCAGGCGCGGCTCAGGAGGACCGAAGTTCGGCACGAAGAGAAGGCGCTTTAAGTTGAAGCCCGCTTGGGGTCTGAGGTGGCCCAGCACCGGTTCTGGCAAGCAGGAAGGGGAGGGGCGAGGTTCGAGGTTCTGCATTCGGCACGGCGCTTTTTACATGTGCTTTTTGGCCTCCGGGGGACCGTTTTACGGCCCCAGGATAGTGAAAGACGGATCCGGGGTGAAAAATTGCACAAGATGGATCCCGGGAGGGGCCCGAGGACCGATTTTGAGTGACCGATTTTTTGGGGTCCCAGCCAGTTCAGATTCCCCAGCCGCCTCCAGTACATTGCACGTGGGCAAGTCTACGAAGTTGCATGGCATTTCCCCCCTGCCCCTCCCCTCCCCCGCCCCTTCGCCGCATTGGCAGGCAGCGCTGGGCCGAAGGGGCGCGCAGGTGAGTCCCGACTTGCGTCGAGTCCAGACTCCCTTTGCGCGCCTCGCCGCCCCCACCCCCTCCAGCCTCCCCTCTCCATAACAAACTCAGACTTCCGAGGGTTTTTCTGCAGCGCCGTGTGGTTGACGGCTGCTAGTCTGTTCGGCTTGGTCGTTTATGGATTGGCCAGCGCACTTCGGCAGCTCTTCCTTGACGTGTCAGTTGTTGTTGTTGTCGTCGTCGTTGCTGTTGTTGTTGTTGTTGTTGTTGTTGTTGTTGTTGTTGTTGTTGTTGTTGTTGTTCTTGATGTTGTTGTTGTTATTGCTGCTGCTGCGGTTGTTGTTGTTGTTGTTGTTGTTGTTGTTGTTGTTGTTGCTGCTGTTGTTGTTGTTGCTGTTGTTGTTATTGTTGTTATTGTTGTTGCTGCTGCTGTTGTTGTTGTTGTTATTGTTGTTGTTGCGCTGGTTGTTGTTGTGGTTGTTGTTGCTGTTATTGTTGTTGTTGTTGTTGTCGTCGTCGTCGTCGTCGTCGTCGTCGTCGTCGTCGTCGTGGTCGTCGTCGTCGTCGTCGTCGTCGTCGTCGTTGATATTTGTGTGTGGGGGGGGGAGAAGGGTATCATATCCGTTTGTTGTTGTTTTGTGTTGTGTGTGTATGTGTCTTTCGATCCCTGTGCTTCTCTCCGAGTTCGGCCTGCGGTCGCCTTCTCTCGAGTCTGGGGGACAAGAAACATGGATCCGGGACGAGAAGCCGGCCTCGGGGAAGGGATCGGGTTCCCTGCGGCCGCGGATATCAAGAATCGCATTGTCGGATGTCCGGGAAAACGGATCCTGCAAGAAACGGGTCCAGAAAGGGATCCTTGAGCTTTCTCCACGTCTTCGGCACCGCGAGTGTCGCCCGCCTGTCACTAGGAGCGCTTGCCCAACGGCGGTTGCTGTCGGTTTAAGTTTGGGACAATACTTGAGGACGATTTGCCGCCCTCCAGTGCGAGCGTTGCCGCCAGATGCGGGAGCCAGCGGCGCGGGGGTCGGACTCGTTCGCAGCAGCCCGACGGCCCCGCGTCAGGGCCCCCGCCGCGCTTTCCCTCCCCCGCCCGTCCCCCGCGACGAGTGCCGGCCTGCGTCGGACCTGGAGCGCTCGTCAGTGTCGGTCCCTGCTTCTGCCGCCCCCAATTCAGGAGTCCAGCAGCGCGGCCGTCCCCGCCAGCCCCAGTGCGGCAGCACCCGTGCTGCTGGCCAGCTCGCGGCTGGCCCCCGCTCCGCCTCACTATGTGCCGCCAGCCTCCGCGCAGCCGTTCCCCGCGCCGCCGGTCTCGACGTGGCCGGCCTCTAGCCGCGCCGTGGCGTGGCCGGCCTCTGCGGGGCCTCCGACCTCCTCGCACCTGACGCGGCCAGGCGCCTTGCCGCCCTCACCCCCGCAGAGCAGCGCTGGCGGCCCTGCGGGCCAGCAGCTCGGGCGGACAAGCTCGGGGCAAGGCTCGCAAGCGGGCTCCCCCACGAGGGCGGCCACGGCATTCGCTGCGCAGGAGCACGCGCAGGCGCTTTCTGGCTGGCCCCGCTCGCCGACCCTCTCGCCGGGGAAGGTGTCTTCTCTGGGCAGCCGCAGCAGCTCCGCGGCATCGCCGGTGCTGTCCCAGGCTGCCGCGGCGGCGGCCGCGCAGGCGAGGCTGCCCGCCAGCACCGCGGCAGCCGGGCAGGCGCAGGCGCCTTCTGTGGGCAGCTGGAGCTCCGCGGTGCCCCCGACGCTGTCCACGCATGCGGCGGCGGCGCCCGCGCAGGTGAGGCTGCCCGCCAGCACCGCGGCGGCCGTGCAGGCGCAGGTGCCCTCTGCGGGGAGCAGCGGCTCCACGGTGCCCCCGACGCCGTCCACGCATGCGGCCTTGCAGACGGCGCTGCCCGCCAGCACCGCGGCGATCTTGCAGGCGCACGTGTCCTCCATGAACGGCTGGAGTTCCGCGGCGCCTCCGACTCGGCCGCGGTCTCCGCATGCCGTGGTGGCAGGAGCGCCTTTGGCGCTGCCCTCCACCTCTATTCTGGCCGCGCAGGTGTCGCAGGCGCAGGCTGCGCAGGTATCGCAGGCGCAGGCGGCCTTCCTTGGCAGCCATGATCCCGCGGCGCCTCCGACGCTGACCGCAGCGGTGGTTGCGGCTGCGCAGTCGACGGCGCCTGGCAGTGCCGTGGACGCGCATGCCCTGGGCAGTCGTGATTCCGCAGCACCGCTGGCGCCGCCTACTGATACGATGCCGGAGTTCATCGGCGGCAGCTCGGCTCTGTCAGTGCAGGTGCCCGCGCACTCCGACGGGGGCTTGCCGCCCCACCTGACAGCCCAGCCGGTGCTATCGAAGACCGGGGTGGACAGCGCTCCCACAGTAGCAGCTGGCCTTGCCCCGCAGCAGCCACCGCCGGCGGCTCTCGCGCCGCCGCTTGACAGCTCCTCCTTCGACAGCAGCGCGCCCAGCGGAGCAGGCGGCCAGGGGCGCGCGCCCGCACGGGCTGGAGGACTGCCGCTGGGCGCGGGGCAGCTCGAGCAGTCGCTGGCGGGCGCGCCGCCGCCTGGGACACCCAAGTCCGCCAGCGCCAGGTCCGCTGGCGCCAAGACCCCCAATGCCAGCTCCACCGCTGGATCGGCCGACGCCGAATCCGCCGTCGCGGAGTCGGCCAGCGCCAAGTCCCCCAGCGCCCGCTTCGGTGGCGGCGGCTCTCGCGGCAAAGGCTCTGGCCGCAGGGAGGAGGAGGAGGAGGAGGAGGAGGAGGAGGAGGAGGAGGAGGAGGCGGAGGAGGAGGAGGAGGAGGAGGAGGAGGAGGAGGAGGAGGAAGAGGAGGAAGACGAATGATATTAGTACTCGTAGCGATCAGAATAGGATGAAGACGAGGAAAAGGAGGAGGAGGAAGAGGAGGAGGAGGACGATGAGGAAGTTGGCCAAAATGTTTAACAATTGATTGTGTCTTGCGCCCCAGTGTTAAATCACATCGCTATCCATCGTTCCCGTGCAATGTCTCCAGGGAACTCGTATGGTAGCGGAGCGAGGTTACTGGCAGCCGCGGTAGCAATTGCAGCAACACCTGCCCATCCAGGACATCTGCTCTCGGAGTTGAACCCGTCGCAGGACTGAGACCAATGATTTAACGCAGCGAAGTTCAGAGAACTACGGGGGTGACTACAGCCATGTAAGCGTGGCGCTTGTACCTAACCATGAAGGGCGCAGAGAGACATATTGCAGCTGAAGTCAGGACCCTCACTAACGAGTTTGGATACGGACCGTTACCGGTGGCCCAGAAACTGGACTCATTGCTCCTACGCATCGTGAGCCGCAACATGTACGCAGAAAGGAAGGCTAATACACTTAAGTTAAGATTTTAGAATCTTGAGGACCAAACGAACGCCCAGAAAAACACGATTGAACAGGTCACGAATATTGCTGAGTCAACCAGATAGCGAATATAAAGTCACGCAGCCGCTCAAAACGTTCGCCCGCGCCCGAGCTAAATTCCACGAGTGGGACGACACATGGTTGAACGCATTGGCACACGTGCGCCCGCAGCATCGGAAAGCGTATAATCATGTAGGTGGCAAGCTGGAGACCATGGGCGGCACGTTGCAGGACGAAGACGATGACGATGCGTTTAGGATCCTCAGCGGTCGGTTAACCGCATCAGAATCCACGGAAGTCAGCCTTGTGAAGTAGCAGGCTGACGATGACAAAGGAGAGTTTTGACATACCCCAAAGAATGAAACACATTTTAGACGAGGACGTGTGGTACATCCTGATTGACAAACTGGAAGGAGTGGACCCCGAGAAACATGACAATAGGGTTCAGAGAAGGCGATGGTTTACCAGCATTCTGAAATATGCACAAGTGGCTATCTGCAGTTACTGGGGTGGATCTGTCAGCCAAGATGAGCCTAGCTCTAAACTCGGACAAGCCGAAGAACATTGGAGATGTGGCCACCCAGCAAAAACAGTGGGCGGCGCTGGTGGAAGAGCTGGAACAGTACGGCCCCGCATGCTCGTTAAACCTTCTGTTCAGTATAACTGCGCTGAGGGCCATCGTGACACATGCGGGTGATTTGTTTGGAAGGTGAAATCGGAGGTGCTGCAGGGCGCCTTATTCTCTCGCGCCAGAAACGACAAACATCATGTTGCGCGCGAAGACTGGGCGCGCAAGACAAGATTGGACGCGAAGAACCAGCGTGACATGGGTATTGGAGGCGGTAGCGGAGGCATTGATAACCAGAGGAACGCTTGGGACACCCCTGCGGGCTGGAACGCTCAGGTTTTCGTTGATGATGATGCTGATGGCGATGATACTGCTGGTGGCGATGATGGTGGCTGGTGGTCCAGCGACGCTGGCCGGCGTTATGAAAGTGATCGCAGTGTAGGAGAAGGAGCGGGCGCAGTTAAATGCAAAGGTAAATGAGGAAAAAGGGGCCCATGTGCTGCGCGCGCGGCTATTTCGGACACGTCGATGCGAACTGCAGGAAAGGAGGGGGCAATGGCAGCTATGGAAAAGGTGGTTGCCAGGGTGGGGGGGCGACGTGCGGGCAGCGCGCCAAAGGGAAAAGTCAAGGTGGAGGCGGAGGCTATGTGAGGCAATGGGCCCGCGTGCTGGACTACAGGGGGGGCTGCGCCCGTGCGTGGTCGGAAATGCTTCGGCTTGGAAAAACGGCGCACGCAGCGGCGCGGCGCAGTAAAACAGACACGCATTGGTTGCAACAGCGCCAGGAAACAAAACCCTTGTTGGAGAAATTTCGAGGTCCATGCGGGAGTCAAACCATCTCGTTCGGCCAACCCGCGCCGGGGCGCCACTGGGGGGGCCCCCCCGCGGGGGGGGCGTTCCAATTCGACGTCAAAATGCCGGCGGGGACGCGGCGACCAGGGGGCGCGGGAGCAGTGGGGGAAGTTGCGCGCGAGGAGGGTTGCGAGGGCCTTGCGGCCGGCGCCGCCGGCCCTGAAGGCGAGCGGCGACAGCGGCCGCGGCGGCGGCGACGACGGCGACGCTGACGCGGGCCACAGGGATTCTTTTTAAGGTCTCTTCTGAAGGCTCTCGGGGGCCTCTGGGGAATGGTTGTGTCGCCTCTGGGGGGCCTCTTGGGGGCCTCGTGGAGTTTCTGCGGGCTTCCCGGGGGCCAGGTGGGCCTGTCGAGGCCTCTGGGGGGCCTTGTGGGATTGAGGCCTCCTGGGGGCTTTGAGGGGCCGAGGGCTCGACGCGTCCGTTGTGGCTCCGTCTGGGCGCTCTCGTGGCGCCGTCTTGCGGGGTTCTTCGGCCGTCTTGGAGACGTCGCTTGGCGTCTCGGGCCCCCCCCTGGTCGGGCGCCCCCCCCCCGCCCCAGAGCCCCCGTGCTCGGCGGGGGGGGGGCGTCGATGGAAGGGCGCCCCCCCCTTTGTATTCGATTGCGGCAGCGATCGATTTTTCTCTAGCCTGAGGAGGGGGGCGCAGTGGGCGGGGGCGACGGAGACGGCGACCGACGGAGGCGACGACTCGAACAGACAAGCTCCTCGCGCGTTCCGACGGGGTCGGCGGATTTTCCGAGGCGGGGGATCCTCGCGGAGCACTTGCTCAAATGAGTCCGCCGAAGCCCCCAAGTCCCAATCGGCCATTCGTTATCGCGGGAGTAGATGGCGAAGGGGGCGACGGCGATGGTGGCGGCGAGTTGCGCGAAGTAGAGGATGCATTTATCCAGGAGGGTCGGGTTATCGAAGATGGCGCGTTGCGATGTGATCTGGCCCTCTCAGTGCGTTAGAATGCGAGCGAAGGGGGGGGGGGGCCGCGCGAAGGAGCTGCGCGAGCCGAACGCAGGGGCACCCATCGTCTCCGTAGGTTACACGTGCATAAGTTGAAGAAGGACGAACGCGATGGAGACAATCGGAGGATCGGTTCTGGCCTCGCACTGCCGGCGCGCCAAGTTCATGTGGATCATAGTTGCGGGGGAGAAGCGACCGCATCCATACTCTATTCGGATGGTGACTATTGTGATGTCGTGCACGGGGCACCGAACAAATTGTCCTGGGGGGCGATGGTGAGCCTGCAGGCGCAGCCTGGCTGGGTGCCCTTTCTGGCCCGTGCTCTTCGAACCTACGAGTGGAATCCAGCCCGGTTGGAGCCCCGGGCTGACGGGGGCATTGGCGCGGCAATCCGGTTTGTCCATGGGCCAACTGAGGACCGTGAAGAGCGCGTTCGATAGTAAATGTCAAACAGAGTCTTGGGCAAGTCGTGCCCTTGCCACTTGATTCGGAGGGTGCGCGTCCTCTGTCGCGAGTAAGTTCGCCGCTGGGGCTGACGGCGAGACCGCTCGCGAGCGGTGCGTGGGAAGAAGGTTCAGTGGGCCGCTTCCCAATTCTGGGCGGCGAATCGCGCGCCAGAAGGCACTGCGTATGGAGGGCGACGCAGATCTGGAGGGCAGGTCGAAAAGTGGGGAACTCCTAAGAGCTAACGAAACCAGTCAGGATACCATCGTCGGCGCGCCACAAGCAGTCGCCAATCGTGAGAGACGCCTGCCCGCCGGTGAATCGCATTAGTTGATTGAGTGTGCCCCCGACAGCGGCTGCTGGTATCACGGGGCGCGCGAGCAGAAGGCGTCGCGCGAGAAGACTCCGCGTCGCCCTCCAAACCGTCCGCGCACCAGTTCGACAGCCCCACTTCTGCGTTGTCGTGAAATGGGGTGCCGCCGTAATTGATGCGAAACTCCTTGTGGCCTTTCGAATGTTACTTACTCCTTATAGCGGGGCCAGCTCGGCGTCGGCCGCCCATTCCAGCGAGTCCAAGCAGTCGGCGAGCTCGCCCTCGCCGAAGACCGCTCTTCCTCCGCCGACAGACTCGGCCTGCGTCTCCGTCCGCATCGTGGATGCGCTGTTCAGCTCGTCCTCCAATTTCTCGCGGACTTGCCGCCGCTCCACCAGGGCCTCCCGAGCGGCCTGTGCTAATGCCGCAGCTAGCTCCGCGACCTTCTCGGCCGCCACCTTGTCGTTCTCCGCGTTCTCCTCATGTTTGCGGGCTTGCTCCGCTGTCCGCGAACGCACCGCCAACTTCGCTGAAAGAGGCTTGTTCTCGCACAACTTCAGCTCAGCTGCTTCAATCCGTGCGCGAGCTGCTGCAAGAGGTGACTTGGGCCGCTCTTGCTTGATACCTTCCAGCCACTGCATGTTCTCGCGCAGACCATCGGTCTCTTCGCAGAGTTCATCTGCCTCAGGCGCGAATGTCTCCCCGTCTGAACCTCCCCCTCCCTGCGGAGCCTTGAGGGGCGCTTTTTTCGGCGTCCAGCTCTTGCAGACGCCGCTCAGTCTTGGCTAGGGATCCGGTTGGGCCCCCTCCGTCTCCAGGTTTGCGCTTTGCTCGGCGAGTCGGGTCGAACTTCGCGAAGGAAACTGACGCCCTGTGTGGGCGCGGCATCTGAAGCATCGGTCTTTGAACCCCACATTCGATATGAGGAGCACTACTACGGCGAAGCTTGCATCAATTGCACATTCAATGTGCCTTCGCGCCGCCATCCTTTGCCAGCGGCGCTGGGGCTACGACGACGTCTTGGCAACGCGGTCGGCTGCGAGGAAGCCCGTGCAGGTGCTGGCAAGGGAGAGTTTCGAGCGTAAGCGCTCCGGCACTGCCTCGGATCAGGGGCATTTTTTCCACCGGGGAAAATATCATCTTGAGCCAAGATGGCAACGGAGAGGGGGAAGAGGAGGAGGAGGAGGAGGAGGACGAGGAGGGGGAGGATAATAAACCTGAGACGCATCAGCGATACGGCAATACCCCCCCCCTCCCTTTACATAGGTTCCTACAAGGATGTATTTTCACTGCGGGAAGTGCTCCCTTGTAAGACACGGGCCTCGAGATTTGTCACCATGCCACAATACCGGCTATGGAAATTCATGGCCACGAAGCAACGTTACTGTTACGTCCTGACTATCGTGAAACGTACCAAGACACAATTCCGGGGATCTCATCACCGCCATCGCATCTGGGACGTCAACCATACGAATCGTTGAAACTTGTACAAACGGTTCTGACGAATGTCCGCGGCGCTGTGACGAGAGCCACATTTTGAAAAGGAGCCGCCCTCTATCCAGTTAGTATCCAGGGAACCCGGGCGAACTTCCAAAACGAATGCGCGCGGCGCGAAGGTGATAATCACATTAAAAAGCGCCCGCCCCCCATCCGTGAAATGTGCGCAAACTTTAAAACGAATATGCGCGGTTCTAATGCAAGAGCCACATTTTGAAACCGTCCGCCCTACTTCCGTGAAGCGGCTGCGAATTTTTAGGCGAATGTGCGCGCTTCAAAAGCGAAAACCACATTTTGAAACCGGCCCGCCGTACATCCGTCAAACTGTTGCACATTTTGAAATTCAGGATCCTGAGTAGTGAAGACGTCTCAGGCGAAACTCCCAGCCCGCCTTACCGACCCGTCTCGGGGTGTGACAGGCATAAGTTATTTATAAGGAAGAAGGATGGAGGAGGAGGCGGAGGAGGAGGAAGAGGAGGAGGTGGAGGAGGAGGCAGGAGGCATCAAGAAACTGATGGACACAGAAGGAGGCAGGACGAGGCCGGAAGCTGTGGCCACCCGCACGGGGGAGTCCTGGTCACCTCAGAAGGCGGCCCGCCGAACGAAGCGGCGCGGCCCGGGGGCTCGTTGACGGCCCCGCTGCTGCCGAAGCAGGGCAGCACAGTGCTCCCTGGACCACCGACGGAGTCGTGGTGGACGGCGGCCTCGCAGCGTTCCGGAGGGTCGGCACCGCTTCGCTCACCGGTGATCAGCACGAGGGGGAGGAAGCCCTGGCCGAAATGAGCCCTGAGCTTGTTGTCCCCCCTTTCTTGGGGGTGCTCTTGCCACGCCGCGGCTGGCCGTCCACAGAAGGACTCGGGGCGAGGAGGTGATCATCAGGGGAGAGCCCCAGGGTCCAGGGCCCGTTTCCGTCAGGGCCAGCTTCTTTCATGGCAAGGTGACCCGCAGGTCCGACACGGAGAACTGGTGGATGGAGGACGTGCCGCTCCAGGGGAGGCTGTTTTCGGCCAGGCCCCGGGGAGGAACGCCACGAGTGCGGGGACTGGGTCCCTCTGGCCCCTTCTCCCCCTCCTCCCTCCTCTCCTCTCCCCTTCCTTCCCCCAATTCCTCCTATTCCTCCTCCTCCTCCTCCTCCTCCTCCTCCTCCTCCTCCTCTGCCTTCTCCTGCCCCTGTTCTATTCCTCCTCCCTCCTCTTTCTCTTTCTTCTTCCTCCTCCTCCTCCTCCTCCTCCTCCTCTGTCCTTCTCTCCCTGCGCACCCGAGCTCCCGCGCGCGGGAGCGCAAGCACTCCTCCAGAACGGCCTGTGCAGCTCCCCTCGGAGGCTTCGGGGTGCAAGGCGTTTGCCCTCCTTCGGGGCCCGGCTAAGGCCTACCACAGAGAGGCCGAGTTCCCCAGGCTTGCGGACGTGGTACGGGTTGCCTGCGCGAGCTGCCCGCCCATGCGGGCGCCAGACATCAGTGCTCGGCTGCCCCGTGCCGTCGGGCGTGCTGCCCGCGAGCTTCTTCGGGTCCATCTGTGGAACCTGGAAGGGATTGTCTCTGACTCTGAAGGCGTGTTTCTCAGGGGGGTTTTGAGACTTTGACGCCGACATCGTGCGACCTGGGTGCGCTGAGTTGAGCTGGGCAGAACTGAGCATAATTGCGGTGAGCTGAGCTGAGCGGAATTGGCTTCAGGAGCATTAGAAGGGAGTAGGGCGATGTGGATGGTAGGAGGATGAGAAGGAGAAGGATGATCCGCAGGAGGAGGAACAGGAAAAGGAGAACGTGGAGATGGAGGAAGATTGCATATGCGGAAGGCGAGGCTGATGAGGCTCAAGTGGGTCAGGCTCGAAAGCAGGGGGGGGAGGAGGAGGAGGAGGAGGAGGAGGAGGAGGAGGAGGAGGAGGAGGAGGAGGAGGAGGAGAGGAGGAGCAGGAGGAGGAGGAGGAGGAAGGAGGAGGAGGAGGAGGAGGAGGAGGAGGAGGAGGAGGAGAGAGGAGGAGGAGGAGAGGAGAATGAAGAGGAGGATGTGGAGGTGGAGGAGGAGAGGAGGAGGAGGAGGGTCGGAGGAGGAAGAGGAGGAGCAGGAGGATGATGATGAGGAGGAGGAGGAGAGGAGGGAGGAGGAGGAGGAGGAGGAGGAGGAGGAGGAGGAGGAGGAGAAGGAAGAGGTGGATGAGGAGGAGGAGGAGGAGGCGGAGGAGGAGGAGGAGGAGGAGTTGGAGGAGGAGGAGAAGGAGGAGGAGGAGGGGAAAGAGGACGAGGACGAGGACGTGGGGGATGGAGAGAAGGCGGAGGAGGAGGAGGAGGAGGAGGAGGAGAAGGAGGAGGAGGAGGAGGATGATGATGAGGAGGAGGAGGAGGAGAAAGAGGAGGAGGAGGAGGAGGAGGACGAGGAGGAGGAGGAGGAGGAGGTGGAGGTCCAATGTAAGCCTAATCCGCATCATCGATGTTGCAATTATCCCTCCCGCCAGAGTTTCCTCTTCATAGATCCATACCAGAGTAAGATCATGAGTTTAGATCCATACCAACATTCAGATCATAGGTCCATCCATACCAATCCATATGGTACGGATTCATAGCTCCATACCAGGAGGACGAGGAGGAAAGAAGGAAGAGGAGGAGGAGGCGGAATAGGAAAGGAATGGCCTGAATATGGGTCGACTGGGCATCTGGCTCGCTGATTTAGGCATCACCCCTGCGTTGTCGCCGCATCGCCGTCACGCAGAATGACTTCGATACCCGCCGAAGCTGTGTTTGCTTCGGCTGTGATAGCAAAAGAGCGCCCCGCCCCGCCGCGCGCGCCTTCCTCGGCCGGCCGGGCCTCGTCCGTATATCGTGGCCTTAGTTTAGCTTAGCGGCACACTTACTTAGGCAACGGCGGGAAGAAGCACTTCACCAATTATTTATGTGAACCTGATCATGAGATTACGACAGGAAGAAGATCATCAATGAGAGCACGAATACTTTTTGCCGATTAATCGGATTGCGAAAGTTCCCCTCCTGACGGGCAACTGGCAACACATTGGTTCATTGGTTATCAGCCGTAAGTTCTTTAACCAATGAAAGCGAGGTCACGAGATGGACGAAATATGTTAATTCCTTCGGGGAGCGATGTGCGAAAGAAAGAAGACCAACGCCACGGCTTAAGTATGAGCGTTCCTGGGGCTGCTTCCCCCGACTATGTCGGGGGACAGAGCCCGCGCCCCCATCCGAAGAACGCGTCTTGGAGCGAGGGGTGCCGCCCAGATACTCCGAGGGCCAGTGGCGACAAAGGGCCCGGCCTGGCACGTCGCCGTGGACCTTTCGGAGGACGAGCAGGACCTGGAGTCTATCTCATCAGAGGAGCAGTTCTCCCGCTAGTCGACGCCCAGACCGATCGCCTATGGGAGTGCTGACCTGCCGCGGAGAGAGGAAACTGGTGCCTATGGCATCAGTTCCCCTGCTCCCCTGTCCGACGATCCATCCTCTGCGTCCGCGCCCCTCGCCGCCTGCGAGGAAGCTGCGCCCCCTCCCGACGACTCCCTCGAGCGGGATTCGCCGCCCGACAGCGGCACTTGCCCCAGGCGATGAAGAGATCGCCGAGGCGCTGCCCGAGGGACTGGGGGCCGTGGGGGTAGTGGAAGATCGCGGCGATGACCCAATGGAAGAGGCAGGGCCCGAGGGGGCGACCAAGTACGAGCGCCCCCAGGGCGATTGCGTCTCCCAGCAGCATTTGCTCACGCGCGTGCCTAATAATCAGTTCTTTTCTACGTGCCAGTGGGCGAAGACGTTGAGGACGCAGCAGAGGCATAATCATAACAAGGCTTACTCGCATATTAGAGCATGCTCTGAGTCGACGAAGTTCGGTGGCCTGTGCACCATGGACCATTGGTTCGCGGCTGATGAGCTATCGAGGGGGCTCCACGGAGAAACCTCGTGCGCGGCACTACGCGACCGGTACGCGGGATTCCTGGCAAACCAGAGCACTCGCGACAAGTCGGCGGAGCACGCGGTCGATTTCCTCGTGAACCTCAGGGCGCCCGCCGAGAAGCTAGACTGCATCTGCGCGGACGCGGCGCCCGACCTCGAGGGGGCATGCAGATCGCTGAATGCGCACCCCTTCCGCGAGTCTGCGACCGCTGATAATTCCGCGCAGCCCGCAAACAGGAAGCACAACTCGGTGGCGGAGAGAGCCGCTGCTATCGTGTAGGACGGGGCCAGAACCATTCTCGTGGCGGCAGGCTTGCCGGCTCCATGCTGGGTCCACGTTGCCCCTTCTGCTTGTGCCACAACGCGCAGGAGAGGGGAACTGACGGGTCGGCGCGGGAAAGAAGCTACGGCGCATCCTTCGATGGACTTCTAGCGCCGCTCGGCTCGGCCGCGTGGCGCCCGCCGCCTCCTGGGTCTCGCATCGAGCAGCCCAGGACTGGCCCTCGGACAAGAATCGGCATCTACCTGGGCGATGCCCACCATGCGGGGGGGCGGGTAGGACCTGATCATTACTGCGTGCCACTTGGCCAGTGGGGCGGCCTCAATTTCAACGCTGGCATGGAGACAGACTGGCGGAGACCGACTGTGGAAAGGTCGGAGCATATCCGGACTGACATAGGCGTCGAAACGGGCGTCGAATCGGGCCGAGACGGGATAGCTGACAACGGGCCTGAGAGGGCGTTCTGTGCATTCCCCGTTGAGGAAAGCCTGCGCCCTTGCATCTGTGACGGTGCATTCGGTCGATCTGGGCGACCTGCTGTCCGGCGACTATGTCGCCGACAGTAAGTCGAAGAAGCCCCCAGATGCGGCCAGTCGCCCGGGGGGGGGGGATCCGCGTCGTTGAGCGGACCAGCTGGAAGCGGAGCTGAGGTTGAGATGCCACCGCCTCCTGCCCACGAGGAGTGGGCGGGAGAGGCGACTGTGGGCGCGGCGGAAGAGGGCCCGACGGACAGCGAAGGACCTTCTGGACCTCCTCCTGCCCCACCTTTGCCCGCGGGAGCTAGCTGGGGAGCTATGCGATTCGCAGGTGCCGGAGGCGGCTCGTTAGCTGAGATGGAGGTCATTCTTGCGAGATAATTCAAGTTCTTAGCTTAGCTCCCCCCAGGGGGGGGGGGGGGGGCAAGCTCGAGCAGATCATGGCGCGCGCCGCCCAGGATTTTCAGGCAGGCGAATACTTCGAGCTCAACGTCATTGCAGTGGGCAAGTCTCGCGAGGAGCTTCGTCAGCCGCTGCCGCTGACGGGCAGAAACAAGACAAGTCATATTCGCGTGGTCTGCTATGGCGACCCGCGAGATCGGACCCCCGGCGCCGTTCAGACGGATGGCCCCGTGCGCGGACAGGCCCGGCTGAAGAGGAACCAACAGGGCCCGACATGTCCAGGCACCCATCCAGATCACTGGTGAAAGATGGGGGGCGCCCAGCCAGAGCGAAGTCAATTGCTGAGTTCAAGGCAGAGGGAAAGGGGTTCTATGGGCTCGCGGACCTGGGGCCGAACGCAGACTTGCTGCGACATCATGTCGGCCGTTGGCGAGAACCTCCCATCCGCCGTGGCGTCCGTCGACTATGTCACCGACGCTGCGGCAAAGGATGAGACAAACCAACAGGAGTCGGACGCTGAAAGGCGCCCCGACGACGATGGCGACGATGGCGTGAACGGCATGGACATTGACCTCAGTTCCCATCCTGGATGAGACTTCGCGGGCTCGACCTGCGCGGCGGCTGTCGGCAGGCGCCGTGTCCTTCGCGTGCCCCTAAGGCGTGGAAATGCGGGCTGCTTTCGGCGCCGGGAGAATGGGCCAAGACTCCTACCGTGCTACAACCCCTTCATAGACAAGTGTGATCGATGCGATGAATCAGACCCTTTTTCTGTGCCCATCCAAGTGGGTTGCGTGCGTGTTCAGCGCTGCTTGCGTCGTCGGGCCGGTGACTGAGGCCGAAGCGGCGAACGGCGAGGGGGCCGCCGCTGCCATGAAGAAAGAGTGGGACCGCCTACGCGAAACCAACACGGGGTTCGAAAGTAAGGTCATGGAGCTGAGTCAGATTCGAAGGGAGATGGGGGTGGCATCTTCCGCACCGGCCGGCCCCTCGCCATTCTTTTCGAAAAGGACGCCGAGTTCCCAGAGGGTCGCGCAGGCCGAAAGTTTTTATTTAACAGCGAAGATTGATAGGTTTCTAATGGTTTCAAAAAGAAAGCATCATGACTCCCCGGGGGGGTCCGGGCAGGATCCGGGGAGAATCCGCGGAAGTCGTTTTAAGCAAACAGTTACACACTTCGCGGTATTCGAGGTCCCAGAACTCCATTACCGGGCCACATTCTGAATGCCCGGAGCTAGCTGTAGGCCACTTCGTGTTCTTCGAGTTCCCAGAACTCCATTCCTGGGCATGATCTTGAATGTCCAGAGCCAACTGTAGGCCACTTCGTGGTTTTCGAGTTCCCAGAACTCCATTCCCGGGCCACATTTTGAATGCCCGGAGCCAACTATAGGCCACTTCGTGGTCTTCGAGTTCCCAGAACTCCATTCCTGGGCATGATTTTGAATGCCCGGAGCCAACTGTA